CAATAGTCGTAAGTTCGACAAAGTACCAAGCGAAGAACTTTAGTACACCTATAGATGCCTAGAGGGACATCTTGTCATAGTTCTGTATGTGTTCACAAAGTGAGGCCTAGAGATTGGCTAAAAGTTGGAGGAAAAATGAGAGAAGAGTCGCATAGGCACACATACAAGTACATCGTTGTACATGATGCATGACAGAAGGTAACAACAGTTACGAGATTGGAAGAATTCCGACCGCAGGTCGTGGTATGAGAAAGAGGCCTAAAGGTGGGAATACCCTAGCCTTTGGATTTATTTATAGAACATTTTCCTAGATGTCAAGGACAATATTAAAGTATTCGTTAGAGTAACAGTTTAAGAGACTAATAAATGCATCAGCCAACATTCGAGGACGAATGTTCCAAAGGGGGGGGGGAATGATGTTACATCCCATGTTTTCGTACGTGAGAGTACGTCGTAAGCTAATTGACGTAAGCTCAAAAATGAGATCGTTTTTAAAAGTACATAACGTAAGTTCATCATGTTATCTTGGAGGTTACAAATATTTAATATCATGAGTAACAAGTACCAAAATGGTTGGAAAGCTTAGACGCTAAACGAATTGAAGAAAATAAGTTTCGTCGAAAGTCGACAAGTTTGGAATGCTATAACATATACTTTTGGGGTGAGACTAGGGTGATTAACATGATAAGGAGGTTAAGTTATGAGTTATTTTAGTCGTACGATAGTCGTGTGTTATGTTTTTAAGTCAAGCGAGTTGTGGAACAAAAGTTGGCAAACGTCATCACAAGTTGCATTCATAATATGCTGAAATTTAGGTCCAATGTAGCTGCATTTTTCTCCCAATATACTTGGAATCAAGGGATGCTATACATATATTTAAGATCTACGAGTCTAGTTTCTAATGCATTAAACTGTTTATCGATACAACATCGGACTAGAGAGATATTTGCATTTTTGCGAGACCGCGTGAGCAGCTCCCATGGGACCCACAAAGTCGGTTTAAACTTCAACCTGTATTTAAGTCATTTATATGTCGTTGTAACTCATTTTCTCATCCACAACAGTTCCTAAACCCTCCTAAATTCTCTCCAAGGGTTCCTCTATGATTCTAGGGTGAAAACCTAAGAGAAAAACATGAATCTAACGCTAGAAATCCCGTGGTGCTTGCTAAATTGTAGTTCTTCATCTTGTGGCTGTTTTGGAGGGTTCTTCAAAGATATGTAACCGCAGGTTTAGTATTGTTCTTTATGATTAAGATAATAATGAGTCCCTCCTTCATATATATTAGAGTTTCAGGGCAAAATACAAGTGTTTACACACCAACTTGAACACAAAAGTTGATTCAAGAAGAGAATACAACTCCTATAGTGTTGTGGTGTGATTGAGGGTTGTTGTGAGCTACACCAGCTGGTGATTTCAAGTTCTATATACTTCCTAAGGTAAGTAAATTATGTTCTTGGTTGTGCTTAAGGTCAATCATCTGTTGGTTGAGTTGTTTGAGTGAAAATCTGCAAGATAGTAATTGACATGGCTTAAGGAATCGTTATCTTTTTTATGGGTTGTGTTGAGACTATATATATGGTTTGTTGCGACTGGAAATTGTTACAAATAGTTTTATTATATTGTGGTTGCTGTTGTTAATCTTATGTATGTGCTAATTCAGTGGATTGAAGAAGATAACATGAAAAATAAGATGTTGACGATAAAAGTTAAGGTGCTAGGCGTGTGGACTATATTTGAAGATTATGCTTATGATGTTTTGGGTTGAAAATGGTATGGAAACCATAAGTATGATGTTATATATGTGGTAGAAAGATTCATGGAAAAGTAATTGGATTCAAACCATATTTTGTTAATCGTAAATTGAGCTTGCTGCTCAAAATGGTTGTTGAACTAATTGAAGAGCCTATTGTAAATTATATTGTTGTTGTTTGGGCTGTTTGATGACTTTTGGTAACATATGGGATGTATTACAAACAGGGGAGGTGTTGTACATTTTCTTGTAGAATATTGATTTCCAAATATGAGAGTTACAATGCTTATATGATAACGACGGAGTCGGTTTACTCATTGTAGATGTAAGAAGATCATATTGAGCTTGCTTGACGATTGGATAGAAGATTTCAAAGGTATGTTAAGGCACTTACTTCTTTCTTTTGGCATGATCTAAAATGAAATGAACATAAATGATACGATATTTCATAACGGATCCACTCCTAGCAACTAAGGTTGCCCATGTTGTTCTTTCCTTATAAAGTTATTCTAAGCAAATATGTATGATCCTTAAATCCTATTGAGGTTCATATTGATGGTATGGATGTACATAATATTAATCGAAGGTGCAACGACCTTACGTCACTTCGAAAGGTTTAGAACGTGATTCCATGAATCGAGCGTGCATTATATATAGTATCTATTTTACTCTACCAAGCTGCGCTATAGTCGACCGGGTATGACACCTATTGTGCAACCACTAATCAATTGGTTTACCGAGTTCCACGTGGCCGGGTACGATTCTACTGAGCCTTATGATGGCCGGGTATGTTTTTACCGAGTCCTCTTTGAGGACATGTACGATATGATGATGATGATGATGCCCACATAGGCGTATGTTTTTAGAAGTTTATGTATATATATGTATTATGCATTTCATGTCAGTAGTCCCCAGAGGCACTCAGATGTTATATGTTGTATCTCATCTATCTCTCTTTACATTACTGTTCTTGTTTATGCTTTCCTGGCATATATACTCGGTACTTTATTCGTACTGACATCGTTTTTGCCTGGGGATGCTGTGTTTCATGCCCGCAAGTCCTGATTGACAGGTTGACAGTCCTCCTAGTAGGCTATCAGCTCAGCAAAAGGTGTTGGTGCACTCCATTTGCTTCGGAGTTGTCTATTTGGTTAGTATGCTTTGGACATGTATTGATTGATATGGCGGGGCCCTATCCCAACCTTTATGATGTTTATGTACTCTTAGAGACTTGTAGACAGATGTCATGTATATGTATACTTGTATGGCCTTGTTGGCCTATGTTTTGAGTGGCCAAATGATCATTTCAGTCTTATAGGCCCGTATGTTGCATGTATAAGTTTCTACATCATATTGGGTCTCCATATGTCTAGTATTCCCTTATGTTTTATTCTAGTTATCTCATGGTGGCCCTTCTGGACCATTTACCCATGATGGTGTGATAAGAAAGATACGTTATGTTAGTACTCGGTTGAGTAAAGTACCGGGTGCCTGTCGCGGCCCTCCGAGTTGGGTCGTGACACCTTCGACACTTCGGAATTGGGGATAGTTCTACGAAAAGTCACCATCAATACTCGAGACCCAAATGAAAGGAAACTAGGTCCGAACTGGAAAAGACCATACCAAGTCATCGGAGTTATCGGTAAAGGATTTTACAAACTTGGCACAATGTAAGGCGAACAATTGCCAAACAATTGGAATATATCACTACTCAATCGATACTAGTGCTAAGGTATGACCTTCTCCTTTTTTCCATTTGTATCTAAAACTAACTCACTGTAGGTGTTCGATCGAAGATGTCGAGGGCACCTATCTAGCCAAAGACCATAGGTTTTAAAGAATGTGTTGCACTCTTTTTCCCTTAGATCGGGTTTTATCCCAAATGGGCTTTTCTGGCGAGGTTTTTAACGAGGCAACAACTATGTGCTACCTAAGGAGAATTCAATAGTATCCAAGGCTTCTTTCAATCAACCTCGAATATTGGGGGGCATCACCTTCGGAAGTTATATTTTCGAGGAAAATACTTCACGCCAAAGAGGGCCTCGATAGGAAAACCTTATAATGGGTCAAACGGTCAGTCGAACCGTGTCCATATAGAATAGCCGAGCCCCGATGGAAAAACATGTATGCATGTATCAATTATTCAAAGAAGCATTCCTTTTATATCACAATATTTTGTGTCTCAAAGAAATTTGCTACTATACAAACTCCATATTTGTGATTATATGAAAAATGGCTTAAGGGCCAAAACACAAATACACCTCAAATACTCTAGGACTGTCATCGACAGTCAACATATTTGAATATCTAAACTCTAATTTATAATACCTCAAAGGGGTATCCCTCGACTTGAAGGCCAAGGCCATCATACTCGAGGACTAACCTTTCTAACATATTCGAAAGGTTATCGGGAAACAAGTCCAAGAGACACACCCGAAGGCTACGGCCATATTAAAGACTACGATCATATAAAAAGGCTACGACCCAAATAATGCGGCTCGAAGACGTCAGACTTCCGCCATAAGTTAAAAGCCTTCAAATACTTTGAAAAACTGGTTAAATAAGGCTATCCTCGGCAAAGCAAATAAAAAAAGGGGGCTGCGATAAAATCAGCCCTCGAATAATTTGAAGGCTTCGATAATATGAACCTTCGAAAAAGCCTTAAGAGGTATTAACACAAACGGGTTCCGATCGATTGAACCCTCGAAAAACCCAATGGGTACAAAAAATACATGCTAAGGCATAAAGAAATTTTTACTAAGTCTTTAGCCGAAAAGAGGAAAAAATTATAGTCGTTTTAAAGGCCGAACTGGCCCAACTTAAAGAGCCTAAGGGACAATATAAAAGATCCTAAGGGCCGAAACATGTAGAGTTCGAGACCCTGCTCTCACTCAACTCGGACCCAAGAGTCCCATCATCCCGAGCTCGTATCAAATTAAGCGCAATTCGAGGGTTATCAAAAATCTTAAGAGGTATTCTATTATAAGTTCAAGGATCGCCCTTTGATCACTAAAAACCTAAGGGTTTGTTCTTTTCTGAGTCTAAGCTAGTACTCACTTGATCATTGAAGTTATAACATCAAATTATTATTTTTTTCAAAAAATAAAGACGAAGCAGAATTCAATACAGATCGGAGATAAAGCAAAAAGAAAGGGAATTCCTTGTATTTATAAAAGGTATTTACAGTGCCCACGAGGTGCCTTACACAAAAACAAAGAAACAAAAAACAAAATCCTAAGAGCCTAATCTACTTTAGGAGCCACATCCTCGGGGGCTGCATCTTTGGGAACCTCCTCCTAGGGGACTCCATCTTCGGGAACCTCCTCCTCGGTGACTCCATCCTCATTTCCCCGCTCTCAAAACCACTAACAGAATCTTCATCATTGGAAGAAACGAGAAACCTGGCATCGGTTTCCAGCGCCCTTGCTTAGGCTATCTCTTTAGTGAGGTTGAAACCTCGGGCATGGATTTCTTCGAGGGTCTCCCTTCCGAGAGTGGCACTTGGCCAAATCATTACTCCATTTTTCCTGGTCGTAGTCCTCCCTTAGCTCTGCTTGAATAGCCTCAACATCCCTTAAGTACACGACGATGGTTTTATCAGCCATGGCCTTCGTCCTCCACACTTCGGCCCTGGCTTCAGCAACCTCAGCCCCGGCTTCAGCGAGTTTGGACTCGAGCTCCTCAATCTTCTTGGCCTGGGCCTGATTTTTCACTTTAATACCCCGGAGCTAGGTCTCAGCCGAGGCCAGTTGGGCTAGAGCAGCTTTTTTATCAGCAGGAAGCTGATCCATGTCCTCCTTCCATCGGTTGCAGTCAGCATTAACCTGATCGACCTCGCCCCGAAGCTGCGCGATCATCTCCAATTTTTGTTGTAGCTGATACATTCAAGTGTTAGCCTCAGCAGTAAGGCCAAGAAGACCATACTCTTTCAAAATCACGATTACCTACTTGTCTAGCTCGTCCTCATTTTTACGAGCTTTGACCAAATCAGCCCGAAGGTCCTTGAGATCCTCCTCCTTTTGGCTACAAAGTAGCCTCAGGGCCTTCTCTTCATCCGAAGACTTCTTGAGCTTGGCCTCACATTGGCTCAGCTCGGCCCTGAACTTGGTAATATCCTACACAAAAAACAAAAAGATATCAGTCAGGAGAAGGGGAGAAGAATAAAAACTACAATAGCGGGAGTTGATACTTACCTGGGAGAAAAGACGATGAGCCTCTTCGAAGAGGGTAGATGCGTCGTTGAGGTCAGGGTGTCATCAACCTAGTAAATCAATCCCAGAAAGGATCTTCTTCAGTAGGGGCTCTGCTCGGGTCAGCCGTTCACAGAGCTCAGGCTTCTTTTATTGCCTCCTCAGAATAAGATGGTAAAGAAGGAGAGTGACCTATTGTCACCGCCGAGCAAGTCACTCGGGGCGCTCTGTTCAACCTCAGGGGTCTCGATACTTTTCCCCTATGGCATACTTGTTGAAGGCGGTGGAATGATCTCGACCCCAGGCAATTCGGGAGCTTTGCCTGAGTCTTCCTTCGGAGTTTCCTCATCACGAGGTAAGGTCTCCGGTATGGAAGGTTTGGCGGCCTCAACTGGTTTCCTAGTTCGGTTCACTGGTGCCAATTCTTCGCCCTCGTTTCCTTCATCATCCAGTAACTGGTAGGCCGAATCTACGTCTACGTGAATAAGTTTCCTCCTTAGCTTTCGAGTAGGGGCCCTCTTATCTTGGGGGTCTTCGGGTTTCGAAGCCCTTTTCCTCTTGTTATCTTTCCCCGATTTGGGAATCGGGGACTCAGTCTCTTCCCCAACCGAGGCTGGCTCATTTCGGAGGCATCTCCAATACCTACATAAATGAATAACAAGCATGAGTAAGGTGACATATTCACTAAAGCAACAAAAACTTGGGGGAAGAACTTACCATGGTGTTTGGCCTCTCATTTGCCTTTCGACAAATCATGCCATTTGCGCTCATTATACGTGGAGGTCGCGGCTCATTTTCGGACCCAATCTTCGAGGTCGTAGATTACATGGGGCATCCAAGCAACCACTTCAAAAAGGTAAAGACATCACACAATGCAAAAATAGAATATAAGAAAACACTGGGCAAAGTACTTCACTTACGAGCGGGGTTCCATTCCTCTGGGAATGTCATCTTATCCTCGGGAATGAAGTCTGAGGTCCTCACTCGCACGAACCGACTCATCCAGTCCCGGTCCTTATCATTATCATTGCGAGCGAAGAAGGCCTTGCTCGATCGACATTAGAGCTTGATCAGCCCTCGAAAAATCTGAGGCCGATACAGTCTGATGAGGTGGTTGAGGGTGACCTCTAGCCCCTCGGCCTTTTCGGAGAAGTGTCGAAGCATATTAACTATACGCCAGAAGGAGGGATGGATCTGGCCGAGGGTGACTTCGTATCTTTTGCAGAAGTCAATCACAACCAGATCGAGGGGACCCAGTGTGAAGGGGTAAGTGTAAACACTTAGAAACCCCTCCACATGAGTGGCAATGCTTTCCTCAGGGTCGGGAATATGTACCATGACCTCGTCTCCCCAACCACACTCTTTCTTCATGGCTTTGATGTGCTTCTCTGTGATCAAGCAAACATATCTCGATACATGCTCGCATCGAGTAGGAATAGGCAGGAATTTTCAACTCTGAAGTCTTTCTTTATAATGCAAAGGCCGGGAATGATCTCCTAAAGGGCCGACGCTTTATCACTGACCGGCCGGGAAGAAGAGGAAGAGACCTTTTCTTTTTGAGGAACTATTTTAGAGGTTTTTTCCATGGTTTTAGGTTTAGATATGCGGAAAGTGGCAGAATTTAGCGTTTTCTGGCACTAAAAGAATGGTAGAAGCACGTGGTAAGAGAAAGAGATGAAGAGAAGAAGGAATCAAAGAGATTACAAGGAAGAAGTAAAATCTTTAATTCAAAAGAGGAGCCCCGTATTTATGGATAAGCGGCGACGGTTCGGCGGCGTTAGTGACCGACCATAATTGGCACACATTTAATGTTTTGGGGAAGCGAACTGACGGGACGTTTCAGTCACCTCGAGCGCTTATGTCACGAGGATGATGTCATCATCAAGGGATCCGAAAAATCGAGGTTCAAATCGTTTCTTATCATTTTACTCTAAGAAATATATGGACTATTTGTATATGGTAAAATTATGTACCCCCAATTTGTGAGCTCGAGGGAACACATCGAGGAGCAAAGGGCTCGCATCGAGGGATAAACTCAGTATGACCGGTTTCGAGTTCGAGGTAAAAACATAAGGATCAAAGATCGAAGTGCACGATAAGTACCGAAGCCGAGTATGACCAACCCCGAGATGGACCCTGTCACGACCCAAATTCCACTAAGGGTCGTGATGGCGCCGGACACCACTGTCAAGCAAGCAAGCCAAAATACTTAATTAAATTCTCGTTTTAATAATTTTGAAAACTATGATTTCCTTTCAATTTCACTAGTAAAAGATAATCATTTCAAATCAAATACAAATGTTAAGAAGTTAATACAAGATATCCCATAATCGTTCCAGAACCCGGTGTCACAAGTGCATGAGCATTTACTAGGAAATGAAATAAAATACAGTAACTGTCCGGAATACAAGGTGGACAGAAATGAAAACACCGTAAAATACTCTGAAGGGGACTCTGTTGGCTGCGGGTCGTCTCGATAAATGCACCTCACTTAAGTCTCCGTATCAACCATGCCGCTATACCACTAAGCCACTAGCCACATATGAACCTGTGCAACAAAAATGCACATCAAGTGTAGTACGAGTACAAAAATAACGTGTACCCAATGAGTATCCCGTCTAATCTCAAAGAATTAGAGACGAAAGGTCGACTTCGACACTTACTAGTGGTCCAATGATAATATAGTAAAAATGTGAGGAGATCAGGGAATTTTATTAAAACAATAATTATAATTCATCAAGCCATATAGCAGGTAAACAACTTCCCAAATAATAATGGATTTCCAAAGATTTACTTTTCATTATCTTTATCAATATATCTCCGGCCAGGAAAGGCAAATGTAAACATTTATAAATCTCAAGCAACAATACAAACATGCGCATATCATGCCGAGGTCGTACGGTCCGATCCAACATAAACATAAAATATGCATTGCCGAGGGTCGAACGGCGCGAACCATAGATGCATCTATTATCCCCGCCCGCGAATCATCCATGCAATGCGGTCAACATAAAATAAGCAAACACCCTGCTCGCGAATCATACATACGACGCAGGTACACATAGAATCACATATTCAAACAGTTAATTAAGACTTCATCAGGGAACAACTATCCAAGGAAAACCCAATTCTCTTTTTACAATTCAAGAAAATGAAGCTCAATCTTCTAGAAATTTACTTACTAATCCGATATGATTAAGCAATTCAAATCGTCAATAGGATTACAAATATTTCCAAGTACAACATGCTTTTGGGTCCTAGACTACCCGGACAATAGCATAATAGTAGTTATACATAGACTCTCGTCACATCGTGCATACGTAGACCCCACAAATAGGAGCATATAACCAATTAACTCACCTATGGGGACAATTTCCTCTTACAAGGTTAGAAAGGAGACTCACCTCGCTCCAAAGCCTATATTCTGATTCAAGAATGTGCTCAAACCTCCAATTTGGAGCCGAACGATCCAATACTATTCAAATAGGGTAAGAACTAGTCAATACATGCTCAAAAGTTCATATTCTAATTATTAAACCAATTTCCCAACCATAAATGCAAGACTCCTAAAATTTATCCCAAGCCCACATGCCCGGATTCCGGAAATTTTGAAGAAAATTGTTACCCATAACCTAAGGATCAAGAATATATGATTTTTACTCTATTCCCTAATAAGTTTCGTGGTTAAATCTTGTTTTTACCAAATTCTAGGTTTTTCATCTAAAACCCTTGATTTTCCCTAATTTTCACATGTTAATCTACCCATAATCCATGTATTTAACTTATGATGTGTAGAAATTACTTGCCTCTTTGATGATGATGGAACCCCTCCTCAAATGACCTAAAAAAATCGCCTAAGACCAAGTGGGAAATGAGAGAAATGGGCTAAGTCTCGGAATAAAAAGCCACTGTACCAGACGCAGAAGTCGCATTTGCGACTCCCAGCTCGCAATTGCGATGGTCGCATTTGCGACAAAGGCATCGCAAATGCGAAGCCCAGCTTTCCCTGCCATAGTCGCATTTGCGACAAAATTCTTCGCAAAAGCGATGGCCCCCTCGCAAATGCGATCTCCCCTCAGTAGACCCCCAGGTTCGCAAATGCGATGTCGCATTTGCAACCCAAACACCGCAAATGCGGTCATACCAGTACCAACAGCATCAAACCTTCTCCAAATTCCATTTTTGATCCGTTAACCATCCAGAATCTACCCGAGGCCTCCGGGACCTCGTCCAATCACAAAAACCAGTCTCATAACTTAACACGGACCTGATCGAGGCCTAAAATCACATCAAACAATATCGAAATCATAAATCGCACTCCAATTCAAGCTTAATGAACTCTAAAATTTCAAACTTCTACTTTCGGTGTTTAAACCTATCAAATCACATCCGATTGACCTCCAATTTTGCACACAAGTCATATTTGCCATTACGGACCTACTCCAACTTTCGGAATTGGAATCCGACCCCAATATCAAAAAGTCCACTTCCGGTCAAACTTCTCAAAAACCTTCAAATTTCTATCTTTAGCCAAATGACTCCGAAATGACCTACGGACCTCCGAATTCACTTCCGATCGCGCTTCCAATACCAAAATCACCATACGGAGCTATTCCTAGACTCGGAATCTCAAACGGACATTGATAACCCTGAAATACACTTCAATCCAAACTTATGAGATTCTTCCAAAAATGCTAACTTCCACAATAGGTGCCAAAACATTCTCGGGTCTTCCAAAATCCAGTCCAGATATACGCCTAAGTTTGAAATCATCATACGAACCTGCTGGAACCTTCGAATCCCGATTCCGAGGTCATTTACTCAAAAATCCAACCTTAGTCAATTCTTTCAACTCAAAGCTTCTGAAATGAGAATTCTCTTTCCAAATCAACTCCGAATTTCCCGGAATTCAATTCCGTCTGTGCGCAAAAGTCATAATACCTGAAGTGAAGTTGCTCGTGGCCTCAAACTACTGAATGACATGCTAGAGCTCAAAACAACCGGTCAGATCGTTACATTCTCTCCCACTTAAACATACGTTCATCCTCGAACGTGCTGAGAACTATAGCGAAATTGTCTGAAATCACTATTTAACACCTCGTGCACCTACCCGTGCTACCACAACTCAGTTGAGCACATTAACTCGATCAATCTGAAGATATTCTCTTTCCTTCAAGCAAATAAGCTTAGAGCCCAATTCCAACATTCGGAATTCTTTGCCAGAACTGTTTCCAACATACGATCACCATATCAATCACTACAAGTTGTACCCAAACATGACTGCACATTTTTTGTTGAATTCACACCTTGCACCATTTTACTCACAGGACCACAATAACACTTCCTGATCAAATTAGTCGAAATTCCACGAATCGGATGCTCCCATTATACCTCATGACATACATAGGTCTTGCTCTAACTCTTACAATACCATCACGAAGGAAGATATGTGTAGAAATTTTTAACCAACTGCCGAACCAACAAATCATTGGGTCTATACTCCTGACAAGAACTATCACCTCATTCTGAACCAAATAATGGTCTTAGCTCCTTAATATACTTTATATAATCAGATTGTATTGATTCTAAATCCGATGATCTCGTCTCACCCAGTACGAACTGCTCAGGCAATCAGCTACCCA